TGACTCCTGGAGCCCCACGCTCGAATGAGTGAATAAGGCACATTGTCTTCAAGTTGGAGAGGGAGAAGGGATGGAAGGTGAAGAGGGGCTGGAATGAGAGGAAAACCTGAGAAGGGTGAGCCCCGAAGGATGGAGGAGGCAGTGACTTGGGTGGGGAAGGGAGGACAAGCTAAATGGGGGAGGAGAGAGATCAGAGACAGACCAGAGAAGAAGAGAGGACAGCACAGGGTTGAGGGGAAAGGGCGAGGGTAGCAGAGAAATGAGCAAGGGGTTAAGAGGAGCATTCGGCCCAGAAAAGAGAAAGCAAGTGGGGGGCAAGTTGAGGGTCTCAGGGGCAATGTGGAGCCCGGTGTGGGGGGGGAGGGTGTGTTGATGGGTCCCATCAGCCTCAGGTCCACAGCCCCTTCCCACCCGCCTGCTAATTAACTCCTTAATTGTCTCTGCATTTGCTGAGCTGGCAGATGAAGTGGATGCAGACAGATTGGGGCTTGTGTGATTTCACGCATGGGGGAGCAGAGAAGAGCTGCCTGGGAGTCCCAGGGGGCCTTGCCCCCCTTTTGCCCTCCCCCCTCACACCCCTGTCTCTGAGAGGCTGGAGGGTGCTTCTGTACCTAGAGCAGATGGGGCCATCTGCAAAGGAAGTGTCCGTAGGGAATATGCCCCCATCAGCCTCTCAGCGATGAAAATAATACTTGCTACTATTGGTGGAACACCTACTGTTTACTAGGCACACATTGTTTCATCACTGTGGGCATTAGCCAGATTTTATGGCTTGTGGCAGCAGTGAGGCTCAGACAGGTTAAGTAACTTGTCCATAATCACACAGCACTGGTGTGACAGAGGTGGAATTTCAATCCTGGTCAGCACAATGCCAAAGCTCTGTGTGGGTCCTGGCCAGATGTTTCATGCCAGTGGAGGGAAGAATATTTCCAGGCCCATTTCTCTCTCAGCCCCAGGGGAGAAAAGGCACTGAGGTCTTGGGACTACAGGGCCAGAGAGGAGGGAAGTGTGGACAAGTGTCAGGGAGGAGGCTGAAGGAGCTAGGATCTGTCACATCCTGCATAAGAAGTAGGTGGGTCCAGAGAAGCAGAAAGGAGCAGTGGGACACTAATCACAGTCCTTGGATCCCTCAGGTGTCATCTTGCCAAAGCCAACTTCGCCTTTTCCTCATCCCTGCAACACAAACCCCTGTCAGCAGGACTTGCCCCTCTGCCACTCTAAACTGGCAGCCCTGGGCCATCCCTCAATTTCACTCTTGGCCTTTGCACTAGAGTCACTTGTCAACACATTCATCTCTCCTTTGACACTGGGAGATTTTGAAGGCAGTGACTATGCCAGTCCTCACCATGTCCAATCCTGGGATTTGACACAGTGTAGGGTTGCTGACATGTATAGGGTAAGGATGGGGGGGGTGGGGGTGGGGATCTGTATGGGGATCTATCTCACCTCAAATGAAGACAAAACAATAACAGGGTACTTAGATTATGCATAAGAACTTCTAAGTCTGGGCATACTGAAGGAGGAACCATACTGAAGCTTTGATTCAGACCTGTGGATTCTCCAGATCAAGGTGTCTCAAGACTGGCTGCTATATATTAGAGGTGCTGAAAAGTTGAGAAATCTGGACCCCACCCTCAGAGATTCTGATTTAATTGGACTAAGGTGGGGCCACAGCATCACTTTAAAAAGCTCCCCACATGATTCAAATGTGCAGCCGGGGTTGAGAACCACTCTCAGATTCTGCCCTGATTTGGCTGCACTGGTGCTTTTACGGCAGGATCCAAACCCTAATGCTAATAATAATAATTACTTATTGAGGATTCAGTAGGTACAAGCTAATGTGCTAAGCACTTTCCGTGCATTAGCTTATGTAATCCTCAGAAACTCCTGTGAACTAAATATTACCCCATTTTACAGATGTGGAAACTGAGCTCAGAGAGGTCAAGATACCAGCCCATTCTAATGAATGGCAGGGCCAGTTCTGAAAGCTGAGATTGCCTGATTCACAACTTTTATCTTCCCTCAGACTCCTGAGGCTGTTCGTTGGCCTCGATTAGTCCTTGCCAGCCTCCACCTCACCTCATCACCTTCCTTCCACCCCCGCTGCTCCCTCAATAACATCCCAGGTGACTGAAGCAATTTGCACCCATTTGAGGAAGCTCCATGTGTCACTCAGCCTGCGAGGGTGGGGAGTTAGGGGAATTACAGATGCTCCAAGATGGTCCTCCCCTCCCCTGAAGACACTTGGAATTCAAGAATCCTGCCCCATGCTTCCTCCGGTCCCTGTTTGAAGCCAAACTCCACTCCCAAATGCCCCCTTGGGTTGATTTTAAGTATCTGGAATAGTGCTGCCACCCAGTGGCTGCCCAGGGATATGGCAGCCCTCCAGCACTGTCTGGTGCTGCTGGACAGCTCCCCAACTCAAGACGGGAACCCAGGATCCTCCCTTCCCTTTGGCAGCACCATGCCCAGGCCCCTAGTAAATGGATCCCACTCTCCCTCCTGGGGTCCTAAGCCCACACTGCCTCTAGGGATCTCCAACTCCCTTCTCTGGTTTTTCTTGTACCCCCTGCCCCCCAATACTTCACAACTTCTCATGCAACTTCTTTCCATTGTGCCAGTTCTTCTTATTACAGGTTCTTTCTTCTCACGTAAAGCCCTGGGAACACACCTCTCACCTTCCTTCTCCAGAGCTGTGCCAGCCTGCAAGTGGAGTGAAGGAGTTGCTAGAGATAGAATCCTGGTCCCCCACACCCCCCTCCTCATCATCTGACACCATCAGACCTCAACAGTCTCTGTGCTAAGAGCCCCTAATGAGCATCAGCAAATTAACAACTTCCCTTTGATTGCTCCTTCTCTGTTAATTGGATAGGGAGGGCCCCCCAAGGCCTCTCAGAGAGGAGGAGGAGGGAGGGAGAGAAGGAGAGAAGTGAGAGCTACAGGAGCAGCCCCCAGGCTTGAGCTTAGTGCCCCAGAATTCTGCTCCTTTCCTGAGTACAGCTCCTCCTTCCATCTCTTCCTCATCCTGTCCGCCCCCACCCTCCTAACCCTCCACCTTCCCACCCCACACCCTTCCCTTTCCCTTTCTTGACTTCTGTCCAAAACCTTGACCTCTGGCTATTTCTTCTTTCTCTCTGCTCCTTCAGAGGTTTAGCAGTGAGGGGCTGCCAATATGCCACCCTCCAAAGGCAAGCCCAAGGCTCCAAGGATGGAATTTGGGTGGCCAAGGCTGTATGTTTGTTTATATATGTACATGTGTGCCCATGTCACATGTAGGTGGGAGCAGGGATAAGAACAGGTGAATGTGTCAGCTCCTGGGTGCTTGCCCTGTAGGCCAGGCCTCTGGGATGCGTGGGTGTCTGTGGGGGTGTGTGTGGCTGTGAGTGGCGTGGTGTGACTCTGGTCTTATGTGTGTCTGTGTCTCCACACGAGCAAGTGCTTGAATCAGTCAAGTGTGACTCTGGAGCTTGCGCGCGCGTGTGTGTGTGTGTGTGTG